GATCAAAACACCTGCCGTGACAAAAAATGCATATGGTGATAAATAATCGATCTTTTCTAGCTACAGTGATATTAGTTTGATATAACTAAAATAATGCTGACTTAAAGAACGACCTGATGTGCAGCGTGTACACTGAGTGACCTTGTCAACATAAACAAACGATTAACTTTTTTTTTTTTTTTTACATTTTAGTGGTTGCTATTATATCTGCCAGTCGGGTGGAAATTGCTCGTTCGGGGCAAAAATTTATGCGATAATGGTTTGACGCTGATCAACCCCTTCTCTGAGTAAAATGGGAAAAATCGCTTCGCGCTAACTCTGTTGCACGGTGTACAGTTTGCGTGAGAGACGCCTAAAACCTTGGTAGCACTACTCCTATTAAATAATATCGAGGACATTACATATTACTTTAATTCGAGTTGAGTTTTTCTCCGGGTCTGTCAAAAGACTCGTGGGCATTTCTTCGAACCCGCATAAAAGTGGGTAACTTTTTCTCCGGTGACCTTATGTCCGGTGAGCTTCTCTCCAATGAGATTTTCTCCGGGATTCAAATTAAGTCCCACCATGACCCCACCCACGAGTTTCACTCTCTCCTCAAGCCGAGAGTCTCAAGCCTACGTGAGCTGCCATTTTATTTTATTTCTAAAAATTTCTAATTAAGGTCGCATGTTTCCTGAAATAACAACAGCTGAGAATAAAAAGTCCATTACCATTTTTTAAGTGCTCGCAAAAATCTGACGCACAAAGAAGGTGACAGAGACGCAGATGAATTCTGAATTCTTGAATTCTGCAATTCTTGAATTCTTGAATCCATAAATCAAGTGGGCCAACCTTAAGCCCCGTACGCACTCTTGCTACCTCTTATAACGCGGTTCCTTAAAACCTCTTACAACCAGAGGACACACTGGCGCCATCTATTGGGTAGCAGTGTAAACTTGGCGGTCCGGCATATTCTCTATTTCTCTCGCGCATTATCCTTTTTTTCTCGGCTCGAAAAACTTTTGCCAACGTTATAAACGATCCTTTCTTAGAGGTATTACGCACATTTGACCTCGGCACTGATGTGATTGGTCTAAGCCATCTTGGAGCACTTTTTGAAGCAGCCAAAACAGTGTTTTGGAGCAGCAAAAGTGGCTTTTGGAGCAGCCGGAACAGTGTTTCGGAGCAGCAAAAGTGGCTTTTGGAGCAGCCCAGACAGTGTTCCGGAGCAGCAAAAGTGGCCTTTGGAGCAGCCGGAACAGTGTTTCGGAGCAGCAAAAGTGGCTTTTGGAGCAGCCCAGACAGTGTTCCGGAGCAGCAAAAGTGGCCTTTGGAGCAGCCGGAACAGTGTTTCGGAGCAGCAAAAGTGGCTTTTGGAGCAGCCCAGACAGTGTTCCGGAGCAGCAAAAGTGGCCTTTGGAGCAGCCGGAACAGTGTTTCGGAGCAGCAAAAGTGGCTTTTGGAGCAGCCCAGACAGTGTTCCGGAGCAGCAAAAGTGGCCTTTGGAGCAGCCGGAACAGTGTTTCGGAGCAGCAAAAGTGGCTTTTGGAGCAGCCCAGACAGTGTTCCGGAGCAGCAAAAGTGGCTTTTGGAGCAGATATTCTTAGAAAAATAAAAATATTTGTTTTAATTGCTGGACAAACGAAGGTCACTTTGTGGTGTATTGTGACAGAACTCGCTGTTTGTGTTTTACTGATGAGACATCCCACAAGTGTACAGGGTTGTAGGCGTTGCCGAGCAATTCCGAAAAGAACGCTTGCCACCGCTTTACTGGTTCCTGACGTGCGAGATTTTCGTCAAAAGTAAGCAAACGCAAAACAATGAATTGCGAGCGTCCCGGCTGGTTCCTCTGTCATGCAGTCATGTTCACATGTACGTAAGGGCAACTTCAGCAGGCCTACAGTGGCACGTGCTACGTTGCACGAGCGGAGACAACGGCTGTTCAATTGAAACCAAAACAATGCCACTCCCCTCCGTCGCCAACTGGTTCCCAAAATCGTGTGCAAAATGTAACTATTCAGCATACAAAAAAAAAAAAAAAAAAGCATTCGAGCGGCTTGTGCTTGCAAGGCCGGCAGGCGATGTACAAGCTAAACACACCGAAATAAAGAACCTGAGCGCATCGATGCATGACATCGCGAGCCAGGGTCAAAAAGTTCTTGGAGCGCTTTGTGCAACGACCACTCGAGAAATACAAGCGCGATGTGCGGGTTAAACGTACACACATTGGGGGGATCGGTGGCCGAGTGGTCTAGCGCACAACAGCTCGGAGCACGTGGAGCGAAAGCTCGCGCTGCAGAACCCAGGGATTCTGGGTTCGAGCCCCACCCCTGCCCGTTTCGATCTGGATGAGCATCGTACCGGCGTGCGGTCGTGTATCACTACTGCGTGATGCACGTTAAAGACCCCAGGCTAGCGGCTGTACCGCACTGGCTAAATTTCTCATCTACAGCTGGGAGACTCGTCGCCCCTGTAAGGCAGACCAAGTTCTAGGCTGTATAAACACACACACAACCCAATTTTTTTTTCGTACACACATTGCCTTCTTTGTTTTAGCTCACTTCTCTTCACCAACTTTCTTTCGCGACAGATTTTTCACGTACCGGGCTCCCTCTCGAAAGAAAGTCCACCGAGAGAAACCTAGACAATCAATATTTCGACAAGCAGTCTTTGAGTTAAAGAGGGATTTTTGTAGTAGTGTATGATTTAAACAAGGACAGGAATGTCGATGAACAAGTTTAGAAAGCGCCATATCTGCAGCAACGTGGGGACGGCAACACCCGACGTCGCGCGACCACAGTGACTGTGGTCGCGCGAGCGTTTCAGCTCACAAGGTAACTGTCGCCGCCCAAAAACGTGGTTTTGTTTCACAGCATGACGGCATGGCTGGCACCCGGCACACTAGCGTCGGGCGTTCGCACACGCCCGCGTCTATCGTTGAAAAAATTTCAAAAAGTCGCGAGACGAGATTTTTGAGACGACGAGGGACGAGGGCACGAGCAACGTTCGGCACGAGGGCGCGAAACGCGAGACGGCGGCAAGGAGGTTAGGACGGCGGGAAAAATCGTGCAAGACCGGATGGACGATTGATGCAGGGTACTTAGTAAGTTAGTGTCGGGCTTCTTGCGCCACCTAGCTGACACATGCGCAATTACGGTCCTTAGTTTAGTTTCGGTTTTGAAAGACGACCGAAATTGCTCCTTTGGCGCAGGCTTGGCGCAGATTACCCATATCTTGGCAAAATGTAGCAGGATATAGCAGGGTTAGCCCCTTGGCGCAGTTTGGCGCAATTGGCGCAGCAATCACATCATTGCCTCGGAAATCCCGCGAAACCTTTGCTCTTGTGAAATGCAGTTCCAGGGTCGCCGCATAGATGGCGCCAGAATGCCAGTGTGTTCCCTCGTCCTAAGAAATTTTAAGAAGTTTGGGTCTTTAAAAGTTGAACTACAAAAAAGTAAGTAAAAAGTGGTAGGATAAAGTGAAAAGAAGCCGAAAAAAAACAAACAAAAAAACATCCGGCTTCTTGAGAAGATGAGTCGTGTTCTAATATACCTTTTGTGCAGCCACGAAGGAGGATGCTTGTGGCAATAACACCTTCACTTATTATCACACCGCATTTAGTGGATTTTAGAGTAAACCAAGCGTTCTTTCCTTTTGTGACATTATGAAAATGGTCGTAGTTACCATAACTGAGAGGGACATCGTTAATTTTTTGTCTGTGTACTTACTGCCTCTAGACTGCCTCGAGCCTCTCGAAGAGGCACACAATCACATGGGACTAAAAGAGCTAAAGAATGAAAAAAGAAATCATGACTTGCTCCCCCCTCTTTTTTTTTTTTTTTTTGTTGTTGTTGTAAAAATGTTTTTTTTTTTTTAAACTTTGTTGGTGTTAGGTGTTGTAAACAAAGGCTTTGTGGAACTGAAGAGTGCCAAACCTCCTTTCAGCGCTACTGCGCTCGAATTTCACCAAAGTAAAAACGACTGTTTTTCTCCGGGGTGGGGAGGGGGGGGGGGGGGGGGGGAGGGGATTTGGAGGGTTGTGGGAAAAAAATTATAAGTGTTTTTAACGAATCCTTTGCGCAAATCTGTATAGGAATTGCTTTACAATTACTCTAGGAAATACGCATTTATTCAGTTACGAAGTTACTGAATAATGTTAGGGATTGCAAGTAATATCGTTACTCGTGACGGATTACGTACAAGTCTGCTTCTCATGCCCGTTCTTCAATAGGTGGTGTTCACTGGACGTTATATTTGAGGTAAATGCTCACAGCGCATGCTCGGGAGGAGTTTGCCGTCAGCACTCGGGCAATCACAAGAAAAGAAGGGAAGGCGAAATTTTCTTCTCACCGGGACTTTCCTTTGCATGTCCCAGGCTTCCCCAGAGGTCGCTGTTCTCCCTCTAAAAGATTAAGGGGATTAACTTTCACTCAAAATTCGTACAAAAGCAGCTTTCCCCTCTGTCTCTTCCCCGGTGGTTCGAAAGCAGCAGCGAGCTCAGCTATTCACCACCAGTGATTACCAACGTAGGGCACCACTAGCCAACCTTAAAATGTAACTATCCGTAGTCGTACCTGCTTCTCATAGAAGTGATTGGAAAGCTGTCTTTCTTATTGCTGCAGTAGTTAGCTCATATTCACTTCCTCAAAGGGAAAGGGACGAAATAAAAAAATCCCTTACCCTACAAAAAAAAGGATATGCTTTTGATTTGTTTGTTATGCAAATATTCGTTTGTATAAACGCAGACACGGTTAGGGCTGTATTTAAATCAAGCATAGGCCTTTTTTATAAAGAAAACACGCCTTTTTTTTTTTTTTTTTGTCGCGTTGACAATTTGATTTTTGATTCACAACTTTCCGCGGAAGTGGCGTCTTTTGTCTGGAAATTATCTTGGGCCGAAGGAAAAAAACAAAAACGCCAGTAGGAAGGGAAGGGAGGCAAGCTTCTTGGTGCTAGCTTGCGCGCGCTTGTGCCACGCCCACACATCTACCAATCATAAAACCCTCGAACCGGGATTGCGGAAAAGGGTGGATTGCACGTGCAAGATAAGATGATTAAGCTGCCGTCACGGGCGTCGCCTCGTCAAAACACCCTTTCTCACCCGTCCCGCCAACTCTGCGAGAGAAGGCGAGTCCCCCTCCACCTGTGGCGCGACAGTTGAAGTGCCACTCTCGGCGGAGAGAGCGCGCCGCAGCGAGGCCCCGACGCCGACGGCACACAGTGCACGACCCCTTCCCCTCGCCCCCCGAGCGCCTCCCCGCATCAGTTACCGTCGTTGAGCGCAGCCTTGGTCATCATAACGCCCCACGCGCGCGCAAGCACCCTCCGCAAGCTCAGCACCCAAGATACGCCGCAGAGAGATGCGGCGATCGACGAGCATGTCCGCCCTGCACGCCTTTCTTCTCGCGCTCGCTGCCAGCCTCGGAGGCCTGTGCGGGGCAAAGACCCTGGCGACCGGCGGGACACCGCCTCGCGTCATCTTGATCCTCGTGGACGGCGTCCGCTGGGACTACCTGGACGAGCCCCAGCTGCCAGGGTTCACGGCCCTGGCGCGGGATGGCGTCAAGGCCAAGTACGTGGTGCCCATCATGCCGGCCAACTCGTACCCCAACTGGTACTCCATCGTGACCGGTGAGTCTGTGCGAAAGCTCACGCTGCCGAACCCCGAGGTGTTCCTGGGTTCGGAGCCAACCTTGTGCCCCTTTTGATCTGTGAGTACATAACAGGGAGTTTTCGTAGATCGCGTTTCCCACTCCGCTAAGTCCTCCACATCAAGGAAGCCGCTACTGCGCCTGCGCGCCGATGGCCTCGACAGTAGAGTCCCGGGTAGCGTAGCGGGTTGCGAAAAGCCGTTGCGGGACGGCGAAAACTATCTACGAAATCTCCCTAATATACTTGCGTGCGGTCGTCTACCGTAATAGATCCCTGGCCAGCAGTGCTACCGCACTGGCTAAATAGCTCACACACAGCGGAGACGCGCTGAACGTATCGCTACGTTCTGATGCACGTTAAAAAAGAAATAAAAATTACCAGTCGTACCGCACCGGCTACATTTCTCCCCACAGCGTAAACCAATGTCGCCGTACCTCAATGGTAGACCGACCTTACGCTGACTCAACAGAAACGTCAAATGTTTTTTGTTTTGTTTTGTTTCCTTAGTGCATCTGTGCAGCCGGGTAGTTTAGCTGCGATAAAATAAATAATGAAACGCTACGAGTCGCCGCAGTTTAATATAGATCGTTGCGGAACGGTTGAAGTAATAAACAGAAAGGTTCGGTGTTGCGCATATTCTCGTTTCCCCTCTTTACGTGTAGACCCGTACATTGAAGTTGTGTTTCAGTTTTTGGCTGAATACTTTTTTTGAAGTGTATCTACGACAAATGGCGGGTAGTGCTACCTAAAAATGGAAAACACAATAAAAACATGTGCGCGCTCTTAATGCTGGAACAGTTTCGCAAATCCAAATTTGATTACAGGTTCGACCAATATGTCTACTGGATCAACATCTGAAATTTGATTCACGTTAAATCGAGAACGTGAGCTACTGCAGTGAAAATATATGATACACTAGTGCGTAAGGTTTACTTTGTGCTTGAGAAATCGCTTACTGTTGCGCTTGCTGTCGGAAAGAGGAAATTGTTGCTTCGCCGAAAGACATCGCAATTTTCTCAAGACTTCCTCGTAGCTGTACATTGTTCAGTTTTCCCAACATTATACTTCAACCGAAATGTGGAATGAAATTACCGAGTCCTTCTAGAGATAGCTTTTAAACCCTTTATGAAGAACTGTTGACTGCAGAATTAGGGTGGAAGCTCACGGCATTTTATGGGGGAATGTTTCTGATAATAGAGTATAAAAAAAAAGAAGAAAAAAAGAGGTTGACTGGTTGTCCCAGGTGCCGTGGCAGAGTACGCTGTCACGAGCAGGCCGCAGCCATTTTTAATTAAATCCCGCCATTGAGCAGACGTCTCGTCTCTGACTTCGTATCACCCTAACAATTGATATAAGCACGAACCGCCGCACTTTAAGGTTGACTTATCTAATATATATAAATAGCTGTATTTCCGCGCATCTTTAAAATTACATGCATGATTATGACCTCAGCACGACTCTTGCACAATGTTTTGCAGAGTTTACAACGGCTCCCTTCTAAATGCGCTGTCTTGGTTTTGCCAGCAGCTCAGACACAGTAACCACAAGACCGCTTGTGTTTCAATGTTCTGTTTTCACGAGCCCTAAAACAGCGGGCTGATGTCGGTTTCTGCTTTGCTCCGTGAAAAACAAAACGCTACCAAGGTTTTTAGCACGCAGACTAATGTTGCCCTACTCGCAAAACGTCGACATTTCTGGCGATGTCACACAGCTGTGTCCCAGCCCGGCACGTGTTGGGAGCTAAAAAAAATAAAAATACCGACAAGCGAAAAAACAGAATTAAAACACACAGCTGTGGGAGGTGCACGTTGCTTCAAGCTCCTCGCGCGGGCTAAGGGGTCTGTCTGGCGGAAAAACTGCGAGTGCGGAAAGTCTACGTACCTTTGCCCCTCTCCCCGTACCTACCCGTCTCGCCACAAAAAAAAAAAAAAAAAAAAGCGTACAAACTTAGATATGTTTTGGTTCTCTTTTCGCTCTTCGCGTTTATTTGGCACAGCTTCTGGCAATTTGCATGTGTTGCACTGTGCTGGCGAAAAGGCCGGCAAGTTTTCCGTTTGCCATTCCAACTTCGTATCGGTTGCAGTTCACGGAACCATCGCTGAAAGCAGGCACGGCAGGGCGCAAAAACCAGTTCGAAAGAACGTCTCTTATTGAGAAACTTTGGTCGCGACATCGTTTGCGTGTGTCGTGTGGCCTTGACTCAAAGAGGAATTCTTCTTTGCTCCCTGCGATGCTACCGAAGGACTTCGTTCTCTTGTTTGTGCTGCTATACCCCATTTCATTATAACTTGGCGAACTGTGGAGGCTACGGCCCCCGCAACCCAATCAGAGCATCGGAGCGAGGCACGTGACACCACGACACGGGCGCGTTTGTGTTGGCCATGGAGGGTTGTCGCGTGCATTGCTCCGACGCTCTTATTCGGTCGAGAGGGCCGCAGCCTTCACAGTTCGCCAAGTAATCGTGAACCGGAGTAGAGGGCGCGACATTTGCGAGTATAAAATAAAACGTCCATGAAGTTTCCTCAGACACGGGGGGGGGGGGGGGGGGGGGGGGGGGGGGTTGTGCGCGGGCGCGGTGTAATTTGTTTTGCTACGCTTGCTTCCTCAAGCAAGTACGTGCATGTTTTTTTTTGTTTTTTTTTTTCTCCGGTCATAAGCCTTCGTGCTGATAAATATGAGCACGTGATCCATTTCGCGAGTTTCTTTAAATATTTCCTGTGGACAAAAGTGAGAGATGTGTTTTTCTCTCGCATATGAATATTCCTAACGGTACGATCGGGGCAAGAAAAAAATTTAGAAAGAAAATGCGACAAAATGCTGGCAACTTCAGAGATCACGACTTGTGCAAAGTCGACGACACCTAGTGAGTATAGGAACATAAAGCTGTCACTTGAAGTTCGCTTTCCAGCTTCCACGAGTGGATCAAATATTAACGACTGGCGCTGTTAACACAAAGCTGCGAAAGTAAGTTACAAAGCACGTGCTTAAAGTTCTCCATAAGCAGCAAAGCTTAGCTCTTTTTTTTATTTTTTTTATTTAGGATAATTCCGGCCAAGATACCGGACACGTTAGACAGCACTCACCCTGCAGTCAAAAACCAAGTCAAAATTGCGTTTTTATTTTCAAACAAATTGTTAAATAAAAAAAAAATTATTCACTAAAGAGTTACAAAGTGAAACAAAACCGGGTGATGAAATTCCCTGGTAATAAAGGGTTAGTTAGCGATCAAAAAATAGTCCAGCATTTAATCTCAATCAGATGAACATTATTGTAAGTAAAGAATAATTAGGTTACACAAAGTAAAGAAGCAAATGTGGTGCAAGCATGATAAAAAAAAAGAATATAAAACCATATGAGAAACAGCAAAATAGCAATGTATACAATTCTGATTCTACATAAAGAGGCCGAAAAACCTATCGATAAAAATACGTTTTACCGGGTGTTTCTACGTCTGATCGTAGGTTTACTGTCCGGGTCATATTTTTGATATTTCTGTACTAAATGTATATGAAAGCCATGTTCTTGGTAGGAACATTCAGCTATATGTTAACTCTGTAGCTAGAATTTTCCCGGAGATAGAAAATTGGGAAGCTCGAGGCCTGGACACTACCGAGATTTCACTATGGTAATTCGCATAGCCGAAATTGTCACACCAAATGCTGGCATGTAAATAAAAAATATTTCATTTATTTTATAGGCAATATACAACGTGCACACCAATTATAAAAAATTGCAGTTATATATTTCTATGCAAAACAAATTACGAAACAAACAAAAAAAAACACGTTTTGGAGACACTTTTACAAATTATTTACCAACAAACACCTTGATACGAAATCTCGCCATATGTATAAAAATGTGCGCCTTGAAATGCAACTTACGAATATGTAAAAATATTTGCGTAACCTCATTAGAGTATTGTGAATCATTCCGAAACAAGGAAGTAGTATCGGAGGGGGGGCAGCTATCTTGGTGTTCCACATTGCGAGGTGGAAAACAAACATCGGCTGACCATTTCAAAGTATCGACGTGTAACGTAACGTAAAAGGAATACAGATAGAAGTTGATAAGCAATAAAACGTTTTCTTGCTGTTTTAGTTTCACCACGCTAACTAGACATTTGGAGCCTGCAGAGAGGCATTCAGAAACTCTCACATTATCATTTAGAGAGAACATGCCAAAGAAGACTTCTCTCGCTTTGTTTACACAGTGACTGACCTTCCTTGTGTGTGCGCTTGAGTTTTAAGGCAATCTTCCATTCATATACTGTTCGAAACTGCCGGCAGCACTGGCGTCTACCGACAATTCTTAGGAATTAAGGGGGGGGGGGGGGGGGGGTTACCCTAAGGGGCAACACAAGGAAACGGAAAGAACAAAACTTAAGACAACATAACTTTCTGAGAAGTGAACGCACACAAACCAGCTGGCTAGGAAATATAATCTGGTACACCCTGAGATTAGGAAGTTGGTCGGTTCTGATAGTCTTGACAGAGATTATCTTTGCGGATGCTCGTTGCCGGAAGCTTGTCTTGTGTAGTAGGAGTCCAGCCTGTCAAGCTACATCTTGTCAGATCTTTGCGACGTCATGTTCTTTTTTCTAGGTCTTTTTTTTGTTTTGATGTGGTCGAACAAACTCCGCTGTTCTTGAAGTTTTGTATTCTGTTGTCTGTTTCTTCTTTTTTTTTTTATTCTTCCTTGTCCCAATCTTTTAAGTTATGACGACTTTCCACGCCCTGGAATAGAGCAGCACCGTTGTACAGACTTTGCCGGTTCTAGAGAAGATCTCTTTGGAGTCGACATCGCGCGGCAAAGCCCCCATAGCTAAGACAAGCTAGCTCTATTTCAGTGAAGGTGTGTTGTCGCTTCGCTCAATTGCAAGTTATGTGCTACGCAATACTTCGCCACCACAAGCTAGTTGAAGATACTGCAAGAGGTTAAGGAGAGTTAAAGGGAAGCTACGGAGCTTCTTGAAAAAAATG